CATAGCTGTCTCACCAGTGTTCCCACAATGGCTGAGCTTGTTACAAATCCAATGCTTCCTTCAGCTCCAACACTAGTACTGAGGGCAACTTTTGAAAATGCAAAGTCTATGCTTATACACATTGAACTTTAGAAAATAGATGGTCTTGGCTTTGTTGCATGTCTCTATATTGCAAAGACATATGGAAAGATAGAAGGGCTTCTATACCTCTGTATGCAGAGTTGTACTGTGTTATTTGTTTCCTGTGACCCACTACCACTCACCAAGCCAATATTGTATTTATATCTGATGAGAAACAGGAAGGGGAGATGGCTGTGATAGACTGAAAACTAGAGAGACACTGACATGTGTATAAGAACGTAACACAGACGCTAATACTAGTAGGATGCTAAACAGCACAGGTACAATTACAAGGGAGAGTGCAGAATTGTCATAGCATGATTTAGGGGTTGAGGTATTCACAAGAAGAAAACACCACTCCATGACAGAGAATCTAAAATATATTTACTAAGTGGTCCAGGTATAGTGGATAGATAGCAATTTCTATTCTAAGATTTCTGACATGTGTGCGCACACACACACACACACTTTTTACAGCAACAACATCAATCAAGCCCCCCAGTGCAGCTGTGGCCAGCACCCCGGATTCAGGTGAACAGGACACTCACTCCAACTGGTGTCTAAGTCCAGGCTGGTCACCTGGATTTTAATGTGGACCTCAGGCTCAATGTTCTACGGTACTGGAAATTAATTAATGTTTTCGGAGGAGCTCTTATCTCAAATATTTCTCTAACTTAGATGGTTGGCATAAGTCAGCATTGGCCTTCCTCATCATGGCCAGGCTGATGTCTTTTACTTTCTCTATTATCTGAAGCCAATTAGCATGTTACCTGCATGACAATCACCTTCTAGCCTCCCACTGTGTATGTAACAAGGCTGTAAAGTTTGGTGGATGTAGTCCAGAACTCCCAGGCAGGCATCCCCAATAGCAGTGATCTGGGCTTTGTTTCTCAGCACATCCTGGAATTACCTAATAAGTGAGAACAGGACACATGTAGTAGCAGTCTCGTTCTATCTCAGTGGCACTTTCAGGCAGGCTTCACTTTGTGATACTTTCTGACAGAGCCAGATTGTGCCTGTAGGCATTAATGTCCCCTGACCAGCCTCATCAGGGACCTCCACCCCCTGCCCATGGGCCCAGGATTTCCATTTAACCTTAGACCTGGGCATTCAATTCTTCCCTGATCTATGTTGTAGGTGTACCTGTATCCAGCCCTGTCTCTCATCCTTCCTCCTGAATGGATGTTGTACCTATGTTATAGGTAGCTTGTCTTCTGGATGGACTCCTCATATGCAAATTGTAGCTTGCCTCCAGTCACGTCTTTGATCCTGTATCTTGGATAGTTTCTGAACCATGAGTCCATGTACCAGCAATGTGCCCTTGTGGCAAAGAAAGCTAATGGTATCCTGGGCTTCATTAGGAGGAGTGTTGCCAGCAGGTTGAGAGAGGTGATCCTTCCCCTGTACTCAGCTCTGATGAGGCCACACCTGGAGTCCTGTGTCCAGTTCTGGGCTCCCTGGTACAAGAGAGACATGGACATACTGGAGAGAATCCAGCAAAGGGCCACAAAGATGATTAAGGGACTGGAGCATCTCTTGTATGTGGAAAGGCTGAGAGAGCTGTTCAGCCTGGAGAAGAGAAGGCTTGCAGGTATCTTATTAATGTGCACAAATACTTGAAGGGAAGATGCAAAGAGGACAGAGACAGGCTCTTTTCAGCAGTGCCCAGTAACAGGTAATGAGCACAAACTGAAATGCAGCAGGTTCCCTCTGAAGACAAGGAAAGTTTTTTACTGTGAGGGTGAAGGTCTGGAACAGGTTATTCAGAGAGGTTGTGGAGTCTCCGTCCTTGGAGATAATTAAAGCTGCCTGGGTCCTGCAAAACTGGCTCTGTGTGGCCCTGCTTAAGCAGGTTAGGTGGACAAGAGGACCTCCAGAGGTATATTTGAACCTCGACTATTCCGTGATTCTGTGAATCCACATTATAGCCTTCTTTCCAGTCCTATCTCTGGACTCCAGTCTAGTCCAGTATTTTGCTCCTGACTGGATTTCCTAAGTATATACTGGACCTGGTTCACTATTTGCCTTGCTTGGGACTGTTGCTGGGCCCTGCACCCTACTCTGCTTGCTGTGTTTAGCTGCTGTGTGACTGTGCTCTGGTTAGTGAGTGTACTGCTTGAGCTGTGGGTTACCCTTGGTTCCTGGTTTGCCTTCCCCATTGGCCCTTCTTGCTTCTTGTCGTGTATATATATATACCAGCAGTATATACGTAATCAATAATACCGAGACATATTCATACAGTCTCTCATAGTAATCTCCAAGTGAAAAAAATAGAAGCCAAACCTATAGAGTGATGAGGGGCTTCTGCGGGGAATGGAGTCCCTCAGGAAGATTTATCAGGCATGCTGGAGAAGTGACTGAGTATGATCTTCGAGCATGATTTGTAACAGGAATGATTTGTGCAAGCCTTCAATGCAAAATCAAGCAAAATGACAAGGGAGAGTGTTTTACAGTGCAAGAGCACAGTAATCTAGCTGGGAAGAGCATAATATGAACTAATGTCTGGGAACTGAAATCAAATATCTCCTGATTGAAATAAGGCACAGTTACTAAAGAGTGGAGGTGCTCAACTACTGCAAAAAAATTACCTAGAAAGGAGGCGGTTTCTTCACTTCTTGAAGTCTTCCCATCATTACTGCATGCTTTAGCTGCACACGTGTTATTTTTTTATTATCTCAATGCAAAGTAAAATTAATTATATTAATTCTTGGTGTGCAATATTCAAGATGATAATTCTGTGATTTTGACAGATACATGAGATCATGAAAATGGTAGCTTTGAAATTAGTTTCCAGACTGGTTTTGTTATAGGCCTTGGCTTGTTGATTCCAGCTGCTGGCAGCCTGAGGTCTGCTCACGGTTTATCTTTTCCAAGAAAAGGGGACATTTATCCACTTTATTTTGCGAGACTCCATTGGTTGGAGAGAATAAAGGAGACATGCACTTTCATACCACGTGTACTTATTCTGTAATCTGGAGTGGTTGGGTCATCTTCAACACTGCAAAGACTAACTGAAATTATGTACAGGTCTTTCTAAGCAATTAACATAGGGTATAGTCAAAGATCAGCAGCTCTCTACACATGTTCATCCTTCTCAGGAGTGTTTCTGACATGTCCTAGGGACTGGAGCAATTCCTTCTGGGCCAGATCCACCAGTCTGGACAACCTTATTGTCATTATAAAGATATCACAAAATGGGAATGGACAAGACTCTTGACCTTTGGGAATGTGAATACTTCTTCTTCCCTTGTTTTTTGAACTCAGTTCAGCAATAGCTCTGGTCTGTTACTTTCAGTTTTCTTCTTCCCAGCGTTATATTTTGGTAGTAGTCAAATTTTCCTTTTCACAGCCTTCCTGCATCTGTCACATGATACCATCATCCCACATTCTTATCCAGTGCTGGATGCAGTAGAACAGTCTGTTTATCCTCTAGCAATATAAAAATACCAGCATCACGCTAATCACATATTAGGGTGGGTGTGAGCAAAGGTACAGGACATCCTGAAGAGCCTTATGAGTCTTAAACAGGAGTACACAATAGATGGAATGCTGTTCACACATGTCCTGCCAGTGTTTGTTTTTGTGTAGGAGTTAAAAAATATATTTGTTATTTTTCTTTTATTCCCACTCTGAAATATATAAGCTCTCTTTTGTCCAAATAAGTGTCTAAACATCATTTATTTGCATTTACCCTTATTTTAACTTCTATACTATGAGTGAAAGAGCAATTCAATCTTCATGGCCAACTTAGGACTTGGCTTCTGTGACGAGAAAGGCAGCAGTGAGGCCCTTCTGCAACAGCAGTGGGGATTACATTTTATAATAAATGAATGAGAGAGCTGTACTGGTGATGATGCTTCCACACTTCCCAGCTGCCAACATGCATGGTATTGCAGACAATACTGAAAAAGACTAAAGACTTCTAGTTTTTTCTTTTCTTTGCCCCCAGTAAATTTATGACTGTAAACCCACAGGATCACCCCTTCTGCTCTCCACCCCCTTTTCTTTGTTTGGTCTGAGATTGGGCCCATCTTCACAGATTCTGAACTGCTGTGGCACAAAAACTATTGATAAGGTTGGGATGAAACATAGGAAGCCTATTTTTCCTAATGCTGACAAAATGTACAACTGTCCACCTAAATAATGCTGTGCAGTAAGCATGGGTTGGTTGATAACCTAAATACTCTAAGATGGCTAGAAGTGAATGGCAAGTTCCATTTTATTTGGGGTTACAGAATCCAATAGCCCAATAGTGGCGAGGCTGCTGCAGCTCCCTTACTGTAGGTCTGCCCGCTAGCAAAGCTGAGTGTGTTTTCCCAATAGGCGTACAAACACAATACAAATATACATATATACATAGCCAGCCACACAAATCAGTACAGACAGAAACACTCATGCAAACACAGATGGCACTAACAGACCTGCACATATGAGTCCCTGAGGCCTGCAGCTCTACGCCACTTCCCGGTACAGACCCCCACACTCACAGGTACAAACCCTTATGCAGCCCTTTGCCCATGCATGCACGTGCACGTGCGTGTGTGTGCATGCACACACATACACGCTGGATCCCAGTAACCAGCCTTAGATACTCAGGCTACCTAGCAACTGGCCCTGAACTCCCTGGTCCTTCAGTTACATCACACCCCCACATGCACACTGGGACCCACACTTATACACTGTGGACCTCCCAGAAACTAGCCTTGGACACGTAATCTGCTTGCTAGCTGGTCCTGGCACTGGTACTGGAATGTGCAAGCCTCTGAATCCTGCAGCCACACTCCAGTTGTTGGTACACACTGTAAGTACTGGATGAGCCTTCTACTACAGATTATTCTACAGATTATTTCTATAAAGCTTGTCAGTGAATGTTCTTTAATGCGAGTTCCTTATGATACTACACATCACCGGAAGTTGTGCTGTAGGACATTATTGCTACAAAAGACCAAATTAAAAAACAACAACTCTTGCTTTTTGAATGGAAAAGAAGCTAAAACTTTATTTCTAATTCAAGGAGGTAGGTCTTCAGCCTCTGAGCAACAAGAAGGTGTTAATTTTAAAGTTATAATACTATACGATACGACAGGGTACAACGCAATATGATATGGAAGTACAGAGGTTACCCAGAAGTGATTAGAAAAAAGTAGAAGGAATGGGAGGGGAACAGAGAATCACCAAGAAATAATGCTCAGAAGTTCTTAGACAAAAGCATAGATCCTTTGCTATGGAAAAGTAGAAATTATAATTTGCTGTGTTCTTGCCGATGTGATGAAGAGGACACTTCATTTATTCTCTACACAACTTGTCACCAGCCTAGTTGAAAACAAAACAACATAAACAAATAAAAAAAAACAAACAAGCAAAAGGAACAAATACAATCATCTAGGAAATAACAGACCATATATATCAGTGTCCCAACTGTTGTGTCTCCAGAGATCATTAACAGAAAAGACCATGTTGTATCTCCATGCTTTCTCCCTTTTTTGTACCAAGGAAGTGTCTTAACCTGTACAAATTATTTACTTATGTACTGAACTACTATCTTGACACACACCTTTGTGTGTTAGATGACTAACTGGTGGCCTTCTACAATGGAGTGACTGCATCAGTGGACAAGGGAAGAGCTACAGATGTCATCTACATGGACTTCTGTAAGGCCTTTGATACAGTCCCCCACAACATTCTTGCTGCTAAATTGGAGAGATATGGGTTTAATAGATAGACTCTTACATGGGTAAGGAATTGGCTGGATGACCGAGCCCAAAGAGGCTCAATGTCCAAGTGGAAACCAGTAACGAGTTTCTGCAAGGGTCCATACTGGACTGATACCATTTTAATACCTTCATTAATGTGTCATTGATAGCGGGATTGAGTGCACCCTCATCAAGTTTGCAGATGTCACCAAGCTCAGTGGTGTGGATGTGGTATACTCAGTGGTATACTTGATGGAAGTGATGCCATCCAGAGGGACCTGGACAGACTTGAGGAGTGGGCCCATGTGAACCTTGTCAGGTTCAGCAAGGCCAAGTGCAAGGCCCTGCACCTGGCTTGGGGCAATCACCAGGATCAGTACAGACTGGGAGATGAATGGCTTGAGGGCAGTCCTGTGGAGAAGGACTTGGGGATACTGGTAGATGAAAAACTTTATGTCAGCCGGCCATGTGTGCTTGCAGCCGAGACAGCCAATCATATCCTGGGTTGCATCAAGACAAGTGTGTCCAGCAGGTCAAGAGAGGTGATTCTGCCCCTCTGCTCTTGTGAGACCCCACCTCGAGCACTGTGTCCAGCTCTGGAGTTCTTAGTACAAGAAAGATGTGGACCTGTTGGAGGGGGTGGAGAGGAGGGCCACAAAAACGTTCAGAGGGCATACCTCTCCTATGAAGAAAGGCTGAGAGGTAGTCTGTGATTCTATGATTGTGATCCAGTAAAGTTCAAACCTACTCCCTCTAGTATCCTTGAAAAAGGACAGAAAGCCAAAATTGTTATTGTGTTCATATTCACCCTTAACTCTACCAGGTCACTTTTCAAAAACATCTCCCAGTCCTGCTTTTAAAGGAACAAGTGGTGAGGTTTCCACTACTCTCACTGGGAATAACTTTCAGCCATATAGGAAACTTACTGACAAAAAGTATTTCCTGGTATTTAGTTAAACGTCTCCCATTTGTTTAGATTTATCCCACGTATCTCCTCAAAACTCCTGCTTATTACTTTTACTGCAGGCATGAGTCCCTTTTCAATGCTTACAGAAAAGTATGATTTATCTGATATTTCCCTTCTTTACTTTCTGGAGAAGGTGTCTTTAATTCTCATCTTGCCCCGTGTGTTTAAAGAGTATTTTGAGAAGGAATTGATCTTCTAGATAGCATTGATTTTATTTGAGTTCTGGAAAAACAATAATAGAAAACTCATCACTTGTGATTTTTCAAACTAGCCTGCACAAAGCCTGGCAGAGCACATAGAGAAGAACCCCACAGCTGAGAACAGATTTAGTCTGTATTCACTGATCCTTGTACTAGTGAGTAAGTTCAATCTTCAAGTGGAACACTAGCCTACCTTGGCTGTCCACACCAGACTGCTCACCAAAACTGCATAGAGCAAGGCTTTGCCACAGAGAATGAAGTATGTGAGCTTCAGAGAATTTCCATACCGCAAGTAGGACTCTGCAAATAAACATCATTTGTGTATTGAATTATCATGATCATGAGAGACTAGATCTAATGTAGCTTTAATCAAATAAGAACCCTTGAGATCTTTAGCTAAGCAACACAAAGGAACTAGAGTCAAATGAGTGGGTCTGTTGACACAAGATAGCAGGGGATAGGAAAGAACACTGTGATTCAAAGAACCAAAAGAGAAAGTGAGTCTAGGAAAGGCAGAGACTGGCTTTATGCTAAGGAAGTATGTCCTGACTGGGAACATTTAACCACACCTACTAAAAAAGCCACACCTACTAAAAAACCAGGCTGTTCATGTGAATCATATGGAACTCAACCTGAATCACACAATATGATTTTTTTTCACTCATTATTGTCAGTGGCGTTTTGAAAGCTGCTGATGTATCAAGGAAGTTTAACATAGCCCAGAATAACATGGTATCTGCAAATTTTATTCTTACAGATTTTTCACTCTTAAGGAATTGCAGTAGTATTGAGACACCAGCCTGATCTTGGTTCAGCCTTAAGATTCCTGAAGCATTAAAGAAGTTGTGAAAAACAAGAGTGTGTAAATGTGTATACATAGAGGAAAAAACCATAATTTTTAGTACAGGTATCCTTGCACTTTGGAGGGTTATGTGACTTGTAATGAGAAGTATTCTGAATTTGATGCTAAGAAATATTCAGAATTCTGGATTCTGAATCTTGATGTTGTAATCACTTGGCTAAGTATGATTTTTTTTCTTTCATGGATGAGCAAGCAACTTCCCAACAGAAGGTAGCATTAAGGACAGGAGGAGATGGTGAAAAGAGTAAATTACACTCTACAGGAAGGTTCAAAAAATTCTTTTGTGTTTTGAAAGGAAATCATAAAGAAGAGCTAAAAAACCAAAACACAGCTACATACAGCATGCACATACAACCCTCCTGAAAACTTTTCCTTTCCTTTTTTATTTTTAATCTAACATACAAGCCACTTAGATGAGGAAGTACAAGTTATTCTTGTAGTAGAAATCTCACACACGTAGTTAGCATCAGTAAAACTGGAATTAAAATACATACAGATATTTGCCTGTGAGAAGACACACATACCTTCTGTGAGTGCACAACCTGAAAGACAAATATGTACTGCAAGTCATGTTTCTCTTCAATGCAAACAGAACACAAATTTTAGAAGTTTCAGTTTACAATATACTGCCTGATTCATTTTACTATACTATATATTTTACTATATTACAGAGATTTCTTAGCGAAAAACTGAAGAAACCTTTGAAAAATTTATAGATGTATAATGATAATGTAGATACAGAGGCCCAAGAATATGAAGAAACATATGCAAATACCTACATATTTACATATGTATTCATGTCATAACAACACCCTGTTGAATCGAAGTTGTGTATAGATGTGTTTCAGATCATAACCCACACCATTTTGATTCGTGATTTCTAGTTTGTGCATCATGGCGATACACATTTTTTACTCACCAGCATCACCGTAGATTAATTTGTGTATCGATTCCAGTGTTTCATTCTTAAAAAAAATGACAACACACTCAAAACGGTTCAAAGGGTTGAACCATTCCTGGGCTGAGATCCTCAGTCGGCTGGTCAATGAGTAGGTACTCCCATTCCATGTGGAAAACTCATCTGTCCCCACCCCTTCTGTCCTCTTAGCACCATTCACCTTCCAGACCAGATTCAGGTGGTCAGGGTAGAAACCAGAGGCCAGGCATACCAGTGTGGCCTTGCTCTTCTGTTGGATCTCTTGCTTTGATGGGGAAAAGATGGCCACAGCTGGAGGTATGATTTTATTGTTCTTCCCTGAAACAGAAAACAATGCAGCCCAGAGCCTCCATTACTGTCTTTAATCAAAAACTCTTTAAAATTGTACTGTATTTGTACTATGTGACTCTTGATATATCTGGCCTTTAAACAACTGTCTATTAGACAATTAATATCTATTAGATTAGTAGACACCAGGAAACCGAAAGCATTTGTCTTCATTCATTACACAGAAAAATAAAAGGTCTGGCTACAGAAATGCAGAAATATTTGAATTTCTAGTATTGTCTCTGTCAGAAGAATAGGAAAGCGGAGGAGAAGCTGAGCAAGTACCCAATAGTGCTGTAAGGCCTGTATTTGTAATATTGTACTAATAGATAAGAGTCAGTGTTACAAGGCACAAGCATCTTCAACAGAGTGTGTTACATTCCTTGAGATGTAGTAAGACATGATGGTTATTGCAGTGTTCAGAATAATACTGCCATGTTGTACCCTGCTTGGAACCCCCACCTAAGAGGTGACTTGAAAAGAAAGAGTGAATCTTTCTCACTGTCTGAAGTGAGAAGAGTAGGTAACCTGAATCTGCCTGGGAAAAGTTTTGCTTTAGGTCTTGACTTGCCATCCTTTTTTAAGACTATGAAATATCTCTTTATGTTATTTATTATTTAGGTTATCCTAAGTATGAGAGGCCCTCATCCTAGACTACACAACTTCCCCAAATGATGCAAGAACCTATACACTCACAAACCAAAATATGTCCCCTGTCCTGAAGTGTTTAATATCTATATATAAGACTAAAGACAACAGACTTCTACAGTCAAAGGATGTACAAGGGAATAATGAGATGTTATTGAGAAGCTAGGCAGTGACCTTAAAGCCACTTTTTTTTTCTGCATATACTTTATTAGAGTGCCTTTTTTACTCATCTAGCATGATAAACCCACCAGGTCTGCAGAGTGCACGTGGAAACAGAAATGCAGAGAGAACTATGGAGCCAAAGAGAAAATATTTCCTTTTTTTTTGGTGTGAAAGCACTATAAATTGTAAATGTTCTTCTTGATCACTCTCTCCTTTCTAGAGCAGAATTAGCAGAATTAGCAGAAACTTAGATCTTGCATAGGTCTTGACCCCTAAGAGTGTTAGCTTTCAGCTGTTAGCCTTAATCATGGCTGTCAGTGCTTACTCTACAAAGACCCCTGGGGTGCTTCTGTGAAAATGTGTGAGCTTGTACAGACTGCAGAAGAGGTAACTGGACAGTAATGGAGATAACTCCCTAGAAAATTTGGTACTGCTCTGCTTTCCTTCCAGTAGACATGAGGAGAGGTTGATCGCTTTTACTTCTCCCTTCTAGTACTTGGCTTTTTGATTTTTTTCCTATCCTAAAAGTACCTCTGACATAAGTTCATCAGCTAATTAATAGCCTAATAGGCTAATGAGTGAAGACTTCGAAACAGATAGGGAGGACACAAAAGAAAAATGAGAGAGATTTAACAGACTACAACAAAAAAAGACAAAGGGGAAGGCAGGTGAAAAAGCAGACAAAAAGAATGATAAAACTACTGGAAAGACAAAGAAAGCCAGAGAATGAGCATGCTTGAAATGGAATAAGGAGACTGGTATAAGCAAGAGCAGAGACAGTCAGAAAAAAAATGTTATCAACAGCCCATTCTGTTCTGATCTTCCACAGTGTTCACGGTAGACACTGGCACAATGCTTAGTCACTTGCATGCATAAACTCATCATTCCCCACCATGTATTCTTCACCCGCCTAAGAGAAAAAGTACCACAGTTCTTCCATTCCCATCATGGGAAGGTCAGTTTCCTGATTTCTTGTTATCCTTCACTCCTACTCCCATCTTAAAATCATCTGTGTATATGCTACATATCATTAATGCAAAGGAAATTTTCAAGTATCCTCCACATTGAGCACCTGGGTAAATCACAGATACTTACCTATGACTCTGAGCTCAGTGCCAACTCCAAAGGTAAGTAGCACAACTTAAAAGCACAACTGTATACAATCAAACTGTAACCCACAGTGTCATTATGCTCTTCTTGTCAGTCACTTAATTCCTTAAAATGGTGCTCTTTAAAGTAGCAGGCACCAACAGTTTGCTATCAGATTTGACAGTAGCAGATGGAAAAGATTATTTGGCCGTATGATTGCAAAGTTCCTTGATACAGGTGATGTTAAACCCTTTCCTGGGAGGAGAGAAGGCAGAGAAAGCAAAGGAGAGAAAGGGAAAAGGAGAAAGAATAGAGGAGAAAAGTGCACTGCAAGAAAAGGAATATAGACCTTTTTGAGAATTAGAAGTCATGAAAAGGACTCTTATGAGGAAGCCAGTGTTCCAAAGCAACTTTAGGCAGCCTGCCCACTGTCTATGGAGAGGGAAGCAAAGTACCAGCAAGACCACGCTTTCCCTGCCTGATTCAGCCTGCACAAGAATCCAGGCTCTATCTCTGAAATGTTGCTTTTGATTATTACATAGATGAACTGCAAAAACTTGCAGACTGAAGAAGTATCTTTCATTCCCAACCTCTGTAATGTTTTCTTGGAAAAGGGGAGGAGACAGAATTATTTCTTCATTTCTTCCTTCATGAAGTTCCCAGCAAGGGAAGACAGAGCCAATGCACATAAACATCTCAAAATCTGTGCCTGCAAATCCTATGCTTCCATATTAGCACATCTCATTTTAATAAGCAACCAATAAGCCATTAATCCTGTCCTCATGGCTGTGTGAAAAATTATCATTATTCTGCTGTTACTTAAAAATACTCTTGTCCCCTAAGCCAGTATCACATATAACACAGAGGTCTGACTTCTGTCTTACCTAGGACTGTGAGTTTTGTCCCACTGCCAAAGTATAGTCTTTCACCATTCACACTGTTTTGCAGCTGCAGGAAAACCTCTCCTCTACTCTCACTCCTCTGAGCCAAACCTGGGGACTAAACCTCCCCTCATGTGGTACCAGCAAAAGAAGAAACACAAAGTACATTAATTTATGGCCCCTAAAAAAAAAAAAAAGAATGGTCTGTAAGGGAACACTGCCACATCTGTGTGTTTAACTAGGTGAGATCAATCTCCAAAATACCTCTTCCAGAGGCCTTTTGCTTCAGACTTAGGTGAATCAGTTGTTGCAGATTTCACCATTTCTTTAGAGGACATTTATCTATTTATCTAGGTGTACTATTAGAAAATATTTTTCATATGCAGACAGAATAATTTTCAACTAAGCAGCCTCATTTCCTGAATTTCCTCATTTCCTTCCAATATCATGAATATTCTTCTCTTGTAAAATAAATCTTTTTTTTTTTTACTTACAAAATAACTTGTAATATATAACACAGTACCCTAGTCCACTATCCCCATTGTAGCAGTCCCTAAACATCCCTCCATTTCTCCTTCCCTGGAAATCTCTGCTTTTATTCACTGTGTTCTCTTAGTTATAATTATTAAAGTTAGCTGCATAATTGACTATGGTCAATGACAGATCAGTGTATTGATTTTCATCAGCTCAGGCACCTCAGATTCCTACTGGATTTTAAAAAAATGTGCTGATCACTGAATTTTTCATGTGGAGATTGAATTTTTTCACTTGTAATCATTTTACTCTGCAGTGGAATAATGTGGTACAAAAGTCTGAGGCATCAATTCTTCTGACTCCAGGAGCAATACAACAAGAAGAGATCACCATCATCTATTAGACCCTTAGAAGCAGCCTTGTTTTCGCCTGGATTTGGAGAGAGTCCGAATGCAGAAGTCATACCCGGGGAGAAACATTCCCTGAGAGCTACTTTTATTTTAAATGAACTACATATTCTGTTTCTGTGGTTTTCGGTGTCCTTTTTGCATCTATTCTGAAATAGTAAGACCATTGTCCTAAATGATCTTTTTGTCACCATCCCGATGAGCCTGTTTTGTGGAAATAAACTTGCTGTGTTGTGGAGAGTTATAGAAAACATTCTATAACAACAAGGAATTAAACAGCTGCAGAGAGCTGTTAGTATTGCTTATGATAAAGTTGAGTATTTATTCGTGGCTTCTGTTTTGTCAACTAAAAATGCTAGTACGTTTATTTGTCTTTCCCAGTTATCTGAGATAACACATGCTTTAGTTTACACTGAAAGATCCAAAGTAATTTAATTTTGTACAGTCTTGATGTTGCTTTCTAGACTTGTCCAAAGAGTAACTGTAAGTCAGTTCTTTCCAGACAGATAGCCTTTCATTGACTTGTCCTTAATCATCTGTAGCCCCAGGAGAACTAACATTATGGAGAATAGTTATGCTTTTGGGGAATAGCGATTTTTGCAGATGTTGATTTATTAAGATAATATATTTATGATACATACATATATTTTAACCCATCCTAATTCTTTCTATGGACAGCTTTTTACTCACTGAAAATGCATTCACCCTGTTCTCCAAAGTGAAACATGTGTCCCTACCTGGAGCACTAAACTTAGTCTATTCTCCAAAGTAGGCTGGGTTACTAGCACATCAGGAAAACACTAGTTTAATAATGAAAGGGAGAATAAGGTTCAAGTGAAGTTCTCTAAAGAGAAGACCTAGGATTTGAAGTGATTTAAAAGAGAAAACAAAAATTTCTTACCCATTACTGTAAGTTTTGTGCCATCGCCGAAAATCAAGTTATTGTTGGTCACGGTGATAAAGTGTTGTATCATAAGCTAAGAAAAGGGATGCACTGCTGTTGATTTTAGTAAGCAGAAGCTTAAGCGATGTTTACTGTATCTAGAATGCCAAAGATCGCTCAATCTCTGTCTGAATGGCTTTGGCAGAAAACCAGCTTGAAATTCCATTGTATAATCTGTAGCATTTATAAAAGCATTTCCCAGAGTTTTTTGATACTTATTGTCTACATTTTACTGCAAGTTCGTTTAGAACCTCTGATCTCGTTGTTATCTCATTGATACTACTTGCTATTCTTATTTTGCAGATGTAGAAACCACGCAGATGTACACAGTGGTAGAGGCTGGCATTGCCTAGAAATAGAATTCCTCTGCAACTAGAGCTTCCCTACTGTCAGTCCTGTACTCTAAACATTGTGAAACCTTCCTTTCTGCAACTTGTGGAGTTAATAATCAAATAATATGTCCTTTGTGGTTGTCATAGTCACATGCCTTTTCATATAGGTGGTTCACCTTTGTGGCATGAACTAAAGCAAATCCATTGGTTTTCCCTTGAATGGCAGGCCAGCCATCTTGAATAGTCTTTCAGGATCCCATTCAATTTTCTGATAGGTTAAAAGTAATCCACGCAAGAGTCCAGGAGAATCAGTTGGCTGGTCTCAGGCAAACCCTTGGAGTCCATTAGGAAGAACTGCAGTGAGACAGTGTAGAGAAGGATTAGAGAAAACCTTTGTGCTCACAGGTATGAGTCAGTCAGCAGACACTGGCAGCTTATTTGAGAGAGAAAGCCCCAAACATTTTCTATAGTGCCTCAGAGATACCTGCTACATGTCAGAATTCTTTTTCTAACACTTTTATCACATTAATAAAGAACCATTTTGTGGTCTATTGCAAACACTATCGCATCAGAAAAAAATACTAATTCTCTGCTTCACATACTCTGATAGGTTTTGTGTGCATTTTCAGTCAATCTGGTTTGCTGAAAATTATTTCAATGTCTCAGAATATCCTGGCTTATTTTCCAGAGAGGGTGGGCTTGGTTTTCAGATGATGAAAGTTAGTCCTAGCATACTAGGTCTGTCAAGAAAAAACAAGACAGAATATGCTGTACTGTACTGCAGAATTCTCTGTAGCTGTCTTAACACACTCTCCTACAAGGCTTATGCAGCTATGGGTTTTTGTAAAGGCCTTGTGGGGAATGTATCATTGTGAATCACCTGTCCCCACAACGTTACAACCTCGTACAAAAACAATCCCACCCATGGCACCGCCCACCCATTTCTGTCACCCAGTCACCATGAAAATTGCCATGGGAACCACAGGCCACATCCTTCCTGTGCCATTGCTGTTTCTGTGTGATAGTCTGATTAACTCTTAGTGTATCCATTACCCCTGAATTTGTAATACCAACATTTTTTTCCTATAGGCAAAAAAGTAATATATTTTTTGTCTTTTATTAGCTGGTTTTAAATGCAGTTATTTTTCACTTGGTAACTTCATGACAGTGTTCATCCTGCTTTCCTTCCCACTCATTTTTTCTTCTGCCCCAGCAGGATAAACAAATCTCAAGCTCACGGTAACTTGTTTGCATTGAAGAGCGATTTGCTTACCACAGGCTGGTGTTTCTGTTTGTAGCCTGGCCTGATCGTGAATGTCCTCTTTGGTCTGTGCTGCACTTGTCACAGGGGGAAAGGGAGGGAAGTAGGATGCTGAGCTCTTAAGTTTGTATTTCTCTGACTGCCCTGTTACAGGAAGCAGAAGTACAAGCTTCTCCCAGGTGCCTGTGACCCTGACTATAAAAAGGCTTCATCGAGGAATATGAGCATGCCTTCATTTTGGAGATTGTCTGAAGCGGGTGGAGACTGGCAGTAACAGGTATCAGGCTACTTTTATCTCTCTCCCTTGCATATAACTAAATGGAGACACAAAACTGTTTTGCTTTTTTTTTTTCTCCCATAGGTTTGTCCAGGTATGATTTAACTCCCAGGAGGGAAATATCTGTGCCAGTGAGACTGTGTGTACCAGCACACACTGAGGTGATACAGGGAAAGACAGGCATGTGAACAAAACAGTTTAGGTTTGGAGCATACACAGCCCATCCTAGCCTAGTCTTCTCACATAAAAGGTCAACACATAGTGAGCAACATGACCACGTACCTGCAGTAAACATGTTGTTCATACCGCTCTTTAATGGTTTCACTTCAGTATGTCTTGATGTAAAAAATAGACTGTAAGTACAGGACACAATCCTTCAAAACAAGGTAGTTCTACTAGGAAAGTCACAAATTACTTTCTTTTTTTTAGGTATCACAGAAGAACCCATAATTTCTGATACAGCCTGTTAGCTGGGAACAGCTAATAGTGTCCCAGGGAAGGGAGTGAGAAACATAGACTAAGCTGAAACATTTAGGAGCAAGACATAGGGTTACAGAAGACAAGATATTGGACAGGCAATCTCAGGTGTTCATCCTCTGTTCTACAACAGCAAAACTGTGTGTTTAAGTCACTAATTGTGAGAATGACTGCAAACATTTATCTTTGTTTAGCCTGAATTATTTTTTTAAAATACATTTAGGATTTTATTTGTGTGGCTCTGCCTAAATAACAAGAGTAGTAGTGGAATATTATTTGCCTGCCTTGGTCTTAGTCTGCCTCTGATCTCAGCCCTGTCTATTCAGAATCTAAAACCATTCTCCTAAAATTCATTTAAGATTATTCTGTCTCCTCCTCCAGTCTGCAGCTCCATTAGTGTCCCTACTGTCACTAACAGACTCTCTCCTATATGGTGTCTTTCATTTAAAAACAAGCAAATCACCTCTGTATTAATTTTGAAGAAGTGTTTCTATGTGTTGCTAACAACTCCTCAAGGCATGTTCATAAGGCAATTTCCATTACATGCCAGCAGAGACTAGTCTTCTCTCACTTTAATGTTAATCTGTAACCTGCCAAAAGGAAATGCCTTGTAGGCCATGAATTCAAATGAGTGAGAGGGAGAGAAGAGAGGAAAGACAGTTCTTGATTTTTATTTCCCTGTGTCTCATAGGACACTTCATGGACCCAACTGTGTAAAATTTCAGACAACAAGGGAAGGCAAGAATATGCAAGCAAGAGACATTTAGGGCCATATTTTCTACCAATGATATAATTTTAGGGGGGGAATTTCACAGGAAAGTAATGATCGTATCACATCAGTCCTGGATTCTTCTTTAGAGTTTACAGAAGAAGCAGCTACAAAGAAACAGGCAGAACTACAGAGACTCCCTGAGCGCTACAGATTTGTTTTAGGGACACTAGGAAGTTCTTTCTATAAACATTCAGTACTTTTTAACCACTTTTTGAACCCCTAAAATTAAGCAACAGCCCTTTTTCAAGGGCATATCTGTTTACATCCTGTTGTGGGTTGAGCTTAGCTGGCTGCCAGATACCCACCAAGCCCCTCTATCACTCCCAGCAGGATGGGGTGGGGGAAGAAAATAAGATGAAAAAAACCCCGTGGGTCAAGATAAAGGCAGTTTAATAAAGAAAAAGCAAAGGTCGTGTGCAGAAGCAAAGGAAAAAAAAAAAGATTTATTCTTTTATTCTCTACTTCCCATGAGCAGGCGATGTTCAGCCACTTCCTGGGAAATAGGGCCTCAGTACATGTAGCGGTGGCTCCAGAACAGAAATGCCTTAATAACAAGTGTCCCCTCTCCTCCTCCTTTCTCTTAGCTTTTTATTGCTGAGCATGACATCATATGGTATAGAATATCCCTTTAGTCAGATTGAGTCAGCTGTTCTGGCTATGTCCCCCCTTGCCCACCCCCAGCCTACTGGCCTTTGGAGCAGGGGCAGGCAGGGGGGGTGGGTTTGGAGAGACAGCTTTGATGCTGTCAGTTTTGCTCAGCAGTAGCCAAGACACTGGTGGGTTATTAACACCCTTCTTGCATTCATATAAAAAGCACAGCACTATGAGCGCTGCTATTGGGAAAGTCAACTCCATCCCAGCCAGACCCAATACACATCCCTATGCAGATAGTGATGCTATATCATCCTATGTTTGTGTATTATTTTCTTTATTTCCTTCCCTTTATTCCCTTCTCTTCCAGCGTGTGCCTACTCAAGCTTCTTGTTAGAGGCCATTGATTTGTGCCCAAGTTGTTCCACTAAAGAACAGTATCGTTTCCCAAATATTCATCTTCAGCCCCCAATCCAGTAACTGTAGTAGATGATTAACACAAGGTTATCTGTCCTGTTACTTCTGTTCTGACTCAATTTTTGTCTCACAGGAAGCCTGAGAAACAGAAGCTGTGGTGGGAAACATCTTCTATTTAACATCTTCATTAATGATCTGGATGTTGGGGCAAAGTATACCCTCAGCAACTTTGCAGACAACACCAAACCAGGAGGAGTGGCTGGTGCACCACAGGGTCATGCTGCCATCCAGAGGTACCTTGACAGGCTGGAGAAATGGGCCAACAAAAACATCCTGAAGTTCAACAAGGGGAAGTGCAAAGTCCCGCACATGGGGAGGAATAATCCCACTATATGCTGGGGGCGACCCAGCTGGAAAGCATCTTGTCAGAAAAGGACCTGGGGCTCCTGGTGGGCAGCAAGTTGAACATGAGCCAGCAATGTGCCCTTGCTGCAAAGAAAACTAATGGTATCCTGGGCTGCGTTAGACAAAAGTATTGCCAGCAGGTCAAGAGAGGTGATTCTTCCACTTTATTCAGCACTGTTAAGGCCACATCTGGAATACTGTGTCCAATTCTGGGCTCTTCACTACAGGAGTCACATGGAGTGTTCAACAAAGGACCACAAGGATGATTAAGGGACTGGAACACCTCACACAGGAGGAGACACTGAAAGAGCTGGAACTGTTTAACCTAGAGAGAGAAGGCTCAGAAGGAATCTGATTAAGTACCTGAAGGGAGGGTGAAAAGAGGATGGAGGCAGGCTTTTTCCAGTGATGCCTAGTGACAAGCCTAGAGGCTATGGGCACAAACTGAAATGCAGGAGGTTTCTTCTGAGCAGAAGAACGCTTTTCTATTGTGAGGATGACTGAGCACTGGAATAGGTTGCTTAAGGAGGTTGTGGAGTGTCCATGCTTGGAGCTGTTCAAAAGCTGCCTAGACACAGTCCTGGGCCACTGGCTCTAAGTAGCCCTGCTTGAACAGGGGCTTTGGACAAGATGATCTTCAGCGGGTCCTTCCAACCTCAACCATTCTGTGATTCTGTGATTCTATGATTCTGAAAAACCTTCCCAGCAGTTGCAGGATGACCACAT